TAATGACTGTCACCCCTTTTTCCCCATCAACCCCCGCTGTCTTATTCAACACACACACACACTCACACACACACTCACACTCAGATGCATGTACACACATTGTGGGGTTTTCCTCTCATTCTCTTTCCTGCTCTCTGAAATTTCAGGCCGGCATGGGGTTGCGCGGAGTTCCTCCGGAGAGCAATAAAAGCCAATTGAACTTAAAACCGTTGGTCAAGCCTCCTCGCCCCAGCATCTGTTGGATTACAGTGAGCCAACCTGTCATCTGTGAAATGAAGGCCAGTATGGGAGGAGAGGGGAAAGGCCACAGGAGGGGACAGAAGGACAGAGCGAGCCACGGAGGGAGGTGTGAGACGGGGAGAAGAGGGGCGGAGCACGCAGATTGGTTTACCAAAGGTTACGATGCGAATCCACTAGACGTAGTTTGAAGAGAACTGGTAATTAGTCCACATCTAGCAGCGAGTTAAACAAGCAGGGGGGGGGGGGCCAACGAGGATCAGAGACAAAAACAGGGATGGGTGACGGGGGTCAAATTTAGGCGAGGAGAGACACGCCTGACCTTTAGGTGAATAATTTTCATCTTCATCCCCATGTTTCACAGCCTCTGAGCAGTGGGGGTGAAGAGCAACCCCTTTGACCCTCTACTTCCGCCACCTGCCGAGCGTCCAGGGACATTTCGGTGCCAATTTCCAGAATTAAAGCGCAGCCTTTTGCCTGGAATTGCAAGAATTAAATCACAATCTGCCACGCGGAGTCCTAAAAGAGCCCAAATCAATTTTTAAAAAGTATAATCAGAGGTCTACTTTGATATGAGCGTTGGATCACGTTTCTGACGCCAATAGCGGAGCACTAATCTGATGCATCTGCGAACACAATTAGGAAAGTATGCTGCTATGAAGCACATCGGGAATCGGGAATCTAAATATTGGTGGCTTTCCCAGTTACACTGCGGTAAACAGAGTTCAGGGTCGTTGCTCGGCCTTTACAAAGTAGCTTGTGTTTTTCCGTGGCCGTGCAAGCATGTACATATTCTGGACGCACACGCTGTTGTGTATTTGCACTTGTGTGAATGCATGCTTGTGAGTGCAAAATAAATGCATAGGGGGGGAGGGGAGGTTAAATCAGCACAGCTGTTGTCAAAATCAGACTTGGCCGGCGTGTGAATGCCTGCAAGCAGTAAACTCATATCTACGCTCCCACTCGTTTTCATCATCATTTAGCTGATCTAAAACAATACCAGGCTGCTGTTCAGGCATCAAGGTCCCAAAACAAGTGCCCACATTGTAACTGAAGTGCTTTAATATGCTATAATGATGTGGGAACAATACCATTCTACTCAGTGAGCAATGATGCCACGATATTGATTCAAAACCTGCACTTGTTCTGCTGGTTTGCTACACTCATGCTTCTACTTTCAATAATGACTTTGATACTAGACACAGATGAGAATACAACCTGCCTGATCATGACTTAATTAGCTCCAAATAAAGATTTCCAATCTTCTTATAATAACATGCCCTATGAAGGGATTATGACTGCGGGCAAAACAAAGTACACTCAATTCAATTTACTTGTAGAACACGTAAATGTTTGCACAGACAAACAACCTTTAATTCTGCACTAAAACACCCCCAATCACTCTGCAACTGCCACATCATTTCCAGCACCCAGCAGAGCTCTCCCATGGTTTATCTCGGCATAATTGCTGTTGATTGGTGTATTATTGCTTTGGTTAATCTGCCTGTGGGTGGCTAATAAAGGAGCTCCATCGGGGATGTTATCAATCGCAGACAGAAGGTGTGCATGGAGTGAAACTGGAGTGAACCTGGAAGCCAGGAAAAGCTAAATGAGGGAGGGCTGGGAGCAGTGAAGAAGGGAGAGGGGATATGAAAGTGTTTGTGGGGTGAAAGAGGAAGTAAAGTGTTTGATTCATTTTGAAAGACAAGGAAGGACAAATTGGTACAGAGAAAAACACGGCGTTGTGGATTTAAATCAGGCAGGGTGGCGTCAGTGTGCTGGATGTTGCTCTGAAGGAGCTGTGAGAGGGATCTCGCTCCCCGGGAAATCCTCCTCCTTATGATTGATGTGGCCTTGTTCCAGCTCTTTTTCCGAACAGTGTGGAAGAGGAGGAGGAGGCTGTCGCGAGGTGATTAGATTCTTCTCCATTACATAGCAGGGCACCAGGTAGGATATCCTCGGTCCTAATGCCCTGCGCAATAACAGCGTGCCTTCAACTGACCCTGCGGTGTGAGAAGGGAAGCGAACATGACAAACTACTTTCTTTATTCCACTTGGGGGGGGTAGGTGGGATTATATTGGCGCACGCTCCAGAGGACATTGGAAGAGTTGGGGAAAGATGGAGAAAAAGACAAGTAATTCAGTAGAAAAGGAGAGAAGTTGCTTAGAGTCTGGGGGAAATTTTAAGCACACCGCTGAAGGCAAACTGAAGACATTTAACAACGGGAGATGAAGAATGATTTCACACAAATCTAATGGAAGATCACCGCTCTCCAGGGGAGTTTCATAGTCAGACATATTCAATGAAGTTTTCCCTATTCCTCAAGTCAGGTAACAGGTGTTTTAACTAAAGACGAGTCAGGGGACCTAAAATGTACCACACCTTTGATTCAGTGCAGCGGTGGTATATTGTTTTAACCGTGGATGCTCAATCTCCCGTCTGCACAAACAATGTAACCGTGGATGTTAATACGGTCCATGTGGTAATGTGGTCTGAGTGCAGGAGAGCCTGGAGGTTGATCTGCTGCCTGTATGACAGCACCTCCTGCTGGGGAACTGCCTGCGTTGCGCCAGTGACTAACACGCATCAAAGGCATTTCATGCGGAGGGAAATATTTCTAACATGCCATTTTTCACGCAAACATTTTTTCACTTTTTTTTCCCCATGACCTACATTTTTGGCCTTTTGTTGATGCACACACGTGGATAACGCTCGACTCGTTCCATATAACGGTTATGAAGCTTCCAGAATCGTATTGTGTTGCTTTCTTCTCGAAAAAGAAAACTCTCCAGCTGCGTTGCTCTGATTGCAGAGACGCTTCTTTGTCTCTGGTCAGGTTGCTCCGTGTCAGGCCGGGGGAAGGCGTCTGTGCACATGCTTTGTCCCCTCCTGCCCTTCTTTCTGTCTCCCTCCCTTGTTTTCTCCTTGGGTGCCATTAAGGCGATTGGTTTCCACCTTTGTCCTTAGTTCTCACAGATTTTAAACCAGCCAATCAGCAGAGTGGGACCAAGCATAAAAGAAGCTTTTTTGTTCTTTGCCTGTTTACGCTGTTTAACGTTTTCTGTTGGGGGGACTTTAAGCGAGATGCCTTAGGATAATTAGTGCAATCAAGTAAAGCTGATTTGTTCTGCGTTTAGGCGAAGGAGTAAGCCAGGCCTAGTTTTGTAACGTCGTTTTATATTTCTTTGGATTGACCACATTGATTGTGAATCTATGTTTGAATGTACCTAAATAAAAATAAATCATTTTACTAATGCTGACTTTTTAAATTGTTTGGTTGTCGTGTGTTCGTCTCAAGTTGTCTCTCGACCAGAAAGGGGGACGTAACACATTCAACAGTGATGTCATTTATTAGACCGTCGGATCTGTTTTGCATAGAAAACTCAGAGAGATGGTCCATTAAGTCACACAATCTGTAATCTTGCGTATACAGAATGTGTACATCTCGGCGGCCTCCCTCACAGAGGATACACCAATCTCAGCACCACAGGAAGTGGGGAGCAGCAACGATAACTCTCTTGTGAACAGCAGCAGGTGACTGTGGGAATTTCAAATCAGCTTCTTTCAGGAGAGAAAGAAAGATTATTGATTAGAGCTGTCAAACACACATACAAACTATAAAAGTTGCGTTGGATATATATTGTGGGTGGGTGGAGTGTGTCAAGTGAGAGAGAGTAATGTATCGTTATTATAAATGGTTCGATAGATTTAAAAATATCGTCTTTTCTTAAAATGTTGTTGGATCTATTGAATGTAGTATGTAGTTGAAAAGGCCGTTTTTTATGGTGTACACACCATCAAATCATGTGTTGATTTGAGTTGAATGATGTTTTTACTGTATAGTTGCTCTGTGTATCAGGTGTGTGGATTTCTGACCACGTGACACCCTGCACCACCAGCGCACCACCTTGCTGTTGTCGTGAGGGTCAAACAAGAGAGCAGCTGGGTTTGACCTTCTAGTCACCCAACTGGGCGTATCGGCTCTGACCCTTATGCAGGTTCTACCCATTGTCTTAATTTGTATTATTATATATAGTAGTCTCACGTTGCCTGTGACTGATTTTACAAATGCCTTCACCTTTGTCAGTTTATGCAGTGTGCCGTTGCAGTAACACAAAAAGATACCCACCCAACTGCAAAATGTCAACCTTACATGACAGCTGATTAGATTGGTTGTCTAAAGTTCAGCCAGCAGGTTGCTGAAACACTGAAAAGAGATTACATGGCAGGATGTGAAATCCTCACGTAACAATAGAGCGGAGGGAGCGACCGTGACTAATAATATCATCGTATCATAAACGGACATATTTATCATTCATTTGGTTTTATGCGCATTTGGACAGCAAGCGATGTAGGTTACTCATAAGGAATGAGTGGACCAAATCTTTTTGTCCCCTAGCACGGCAAATATTTCACCAGAACAATGAACAATGGAAATGTCGTGTTGTAACCCTCTTTTGTCAGTCAAATCAGCTCTATCAGACTAAGAACACTCCTCAGACAAGTAAAGCAGATGTCTTGGTGTTAAAAGTTTTTGTGGTTTCTCCCTCTTGTTGTACCTTGAACCAGACGGCAGAGGGCGCTGGGACGCTGATGATGTTGTAGCGTGAGGAAACGAGGAAACGAGTAGTACCGACGTGACGTCACACACAGGGTTGCAGGCTGTTGCGCTGCAACATCCTACCTCGGACGTGACAAAAGACATGCGCGACACAACCCGCCCGCCCTCATTGACATGCGCGCACGTAACGTGCACCGAGGAGGAGGGGGGGGGCTTCCGTTAAATACAAGCGCACACCCCCACCGCTGCACCACTTCTCTGGGGAAGCAGCACCGCGTTCAACCTCCTTTTTTTCTCCTGCTCCACCTGCACGCCAGAAAGCCTCAAGGTAGGAAGACCCCTGATTACTAACAGCAAATAACCCGACTCGGTGTTTCACGCTGCGGCCGCCTGCAGGAACCCGTCTGTTTGGGTTAATTTAACCGCTTATCGGTGAGAGTGGTGTTATGGGGAGGGGAGGAGTGGCTCATACGATGCCCCCCCCCTCCCCCTTCCCCCTCCGCCGCCGGTAAGAGGACACCGAACGCGCCATGTCGCTTCTCGATGTAGTGTTTATAGTGTTGATCGAAATGAGCCAGTTTACGACCGGCCCCCTTTGCGGTTACGCGTGTTGCATTCCGTTTGTGTAATAAAGGAGTTAATTTGTGTGTGTGTGTGTGTGTGTGTGTGTGTGTGTGTGTGTGTGTGTGTGTGTGTGTGTGTGTGTGTGTGTGTGTGTGTGTGTGAGGAGCAGAATTAACCAGCTGGAGGCCCACTGGGCCAACGTCCGAGCCTACTTGTCGCAGTTGAATTAATGGCGTGAATGAATGTCGTTTAATTTATTATTATTAATGAAAAATATTTATAAATTCATTCAACGTGTTGGTATATGTTCATTACGTCCTCAGTTGTGGTGATGGTGTAGTACAGTGCTGATCTATGTTGTGCATGAGCCACAAGGGGGCACTCGTTGTTGGAATGCATTAAACATTCCAAGTATTGTTCTTCTATTCTTTATTGTTGGAATGCATTAAGCATTCCAAGTATTGTTCTTCGAATCTTCATTTCAACTTATTATTGTTGGAATGCATTAAGCATTCCAAGTATTGTTCTTCGAATCTTATTTCTTCATCTTCTTCTTCTTCTATTTCTTCCGCGCCCCCTTTCAACTCCTTCACATTTTCAGCTATTTAAACCGTTCAAATATTAAAATGTTCAGCTTCTTTCTGGCTTTAGGGCTATGGCTTTTCAGCTTTCTACCTCTTAAGCTAGAATTTATATAAATCAATAATCATTAATATTTTAACATGGTTTTGCAATGGAGATCGTTTTTCAAATCCTCTTAAACTTCTTCAACTTTCAGAATCTTTCAGCTACAGACACCATTTAGATTTTCAAATGTTGACACAAGTCTCAACTATTTTATGAAAAAAACTGCTTGTTGATATCTATTCTACTTTTTTCATAATCACTGATTATGTTTCACTAGTTCTTAGCTCCGTTTCTGACTTTTACATGAGTGTGTATTGCGTCTGCTAGAGTGAGACCCGGAGATCTTAGAGTGTGAGGCAGCGCCTGAATCTGGTTAAAAAAATATGGAACTTCTGTCCTTGCAGCCAAAGTATACACTCTAGAGGCTTCATTTCTTCAGATTAATGAGGGCATGGTTGTGCTGATTGGATTAATGCGTTCATGGAATCCCAGAGACCAACAGTCACACAACCTCTGCTAAAAGCCCCATAGGCTCCAATACAAATCTGCTGCCATATTTCTCAAAAAATCCAGAAGGTACACGTTTTGTAAACTTCGACAGGAGCCGTATTTTTTACCGGACAGACATGAATAACACCTCCCTGCGTTCGGTAGAGTCTTGGGTCTCGAACAAACAGCGTATTTTTTAGATAGCTGTTATAGTTTTGCGCTGAATGTCATTTGTTTGAGGTGTGGATTCTGTGTAACTCGCTGTCCTGTCTCTGCCCTTTGCAGCAGCTCGTTAATGAGCACAGGTGCGCCGTTGCCGTGGTTACTCGCTCACAAGCTGCAAGATCTGTCTGTGACTCACAGCTGCTCCTATGACCTGATTAGTGGAGTCACATGACGCAGCTATGCTTTCTGTCAACAGACCAATATGATAAAGACACTCGCCCCCCCTCCCCCCTCCACCCTGACCTCTTCTCGCTGTTAATCACTCACTCAGTCAGTCAGTCTGTCTATTTCTCCTCCTCTCTCTCTCCCTTTATCTCTTCCTCACCACCCCTCCCTTCCTCACCCTCTCACCCTCACTCCCTCTATCTACACCCCCCCACCCCACCCAATTCAATATCAAAATAAAAGCCCCATGGAGGGAATTCTTTCTGTAATGTTTGTGATGAGGCCTATTAATTAAAAACTTCTTAGTTTGAATAACAAACATTCTGTCTCCCAACCCCCCCTCACCCAATTCCATCATTACAAAATAAAAGCCTCAATGATTATCTGTACCTTAACCATGAAGCGGTTTCGTTGAAATACGTATTGCTCTTTCAAATACTACTACAACCACTACGAATATTACTAGTACTTCTAGTACTACAACTGATACTTCTACTACCATACTACTAGTATTTCTACTGCTATTAATACTACAACTACTACTAATGTTATTACAACTACTACTATGGCTAATAGTGTTAGTATTACAGCTGTTTCCACTGCTAGTAATACTAAACCTACTATTACTGCTTCTACTGCTAGTACTACGAATACCACAATTAAAACTGTAACGAATACTACTACTAATATTACAACAAACAATTTAAAACCTCTTTTAGGTTTTGTTATTTTTGTATTTTTTAATTAATTTAAGCTCCTGCAACTTCTGTATTTTTTATAAATTCTATTGAAATTAAGCTTCACATTTCTGTATTTTCAGCAGTTCTTTCAAATAATTTCAGCATTTCTTATGCCTGTATTAACAGCAATGTTTTAATATTTATTTCTGTATTTTTATTTGGAAAATTTTCACATTTATGTTTTCACTTCTGCTTTTTCAGCAAATCTATTGAAATTCCTTTCAGCTTCTCCCATTTCTGTATTTTCAGCAATTTCGAATTAATTTTAGCTTTTCTAATATCTGTAATTTCAGCAAATGTATTCAAATTTCCTTCAACTTTCTGTTATTTCAGCTCATTTAAAAATTCATTTCAGCTTTTTGCATTCCAACGCATTTTCAGCAGGAAATGCATTTTCTAGTTTGCATTGCTGTTTTGTTTGTCCCAAAATGTTTTGCCGTTTTATATGAAGAAGTGATGAAGGCTGTCTGACCGTGAGACTGATGTGTCAGCGGCAGCTCGTGAAATAAATATGCCGAAGACGGCTAAAGATGGCTCATCTGAATCGTCCGCTCTTTTCCTCCGAATGGAACGTTAGCTGCAAGAATGCGAGTAACGCAACTCAACAGGTTATGGGCCCAGCAGTCCTACGGAAGATAAGTTCGTTGTTTCCCACCGTTTAGAAAGTTGCAACGGGCCGCGTGCTAAACGGACTTGGAGTAAGCTAACATGGCGGAACAACGAAGGAGATTGCCTCGACTGACGTTCGACGGAGATGAGACTAAGTATGAGCTTTGGGAGACCAAAATGTTGGGACATTTTCATTTATCAGGGCTGAAGGACACGGTGCTGAAAGAACCGGTGTCAGAAGCCGAAATAGCGGCAGATGAAAAGAAAAACGCGGACGCGTATGCGGAGCTAATTCTACTTTTAGACGACAAAAGTCTATCATTAGTTATGAGAGATGCACCCAACAATGGAAGAAAAGCTTTGGCAATATTGAGAGAGTATTATGCGGGGAGGGGAAAGCCCCGTATAATCAACTTGTACACCACGTTGACATCGCTTCTGAAAGCAAATGATGAAAGTGTAATGGACTATATTATCAGAGCCGAAACCACCAATACAGCACTGCACAACGCGGGTGAAACGTTAGGAGACGGACTGCTAGTCGCTATGGTCCTGAAGGGATTGCCTGAAAGTTTTAAGTCATTAGCAATACATGTGGCACATGCAGACGATAATATCACGTTTGCAGAATTCAAGACTAAACTACGAAGCTGTCTTTTTGAAGAGACAGAAAAGATAAAAGCAGCTGAGTCAAGCGACAGCGTGATGAAGACTCAAGGGAAAACTGGACGGCGGCCCGCCAAGACGAGCGCACATGGCTGGATAAAGGACGACGCAGAGTTGATGTGTTTCAAGTGTGGCACCAAAGGCCACAGAGCCAAAGAATGTCGACAGAAAACCTGGTGTAGTCACTGCAGAAGTGACACACACAAAGACACCACGTGTAGGCGTAAGGACAAGGACAGTAAGAGCACAAAGGATGGTGCGAGTAAAGCCTCAGAAGACGCAGAGGACTACATGTTCAAGATGAGAGACGGTGAGAACGATATCAAGCAGTTATGGCCCTACGCAGTTCAAACAGCAGCAATAGTACGCAACCGGTGCTTTAGCAGACGTACTGGGCAGACTCCTTATGAGTTGTTGACAGACAAGAAGCCTAATGTATCTAGGATGCAAAAGTTTGGTTCTGTATGCTACACAAACAGAGAAAGGGAAAACTTGATTCCAGATGTGACATGGGACGTTTTGTGGGTTATGATAAGAACAGCCAAGCTTATTTGGTGTATTATCCAGATACAAACAAAGTTCAAAAACACAGACTAGTGAAGTTTGTGAGCAAGGCAGCTGTGGAAAAACAGACACAGACAGGTGAGCCAGATCTAAGCGACGACTCTGACAGTGTGAGACCCCTGACTAACGAGACCACACAGAGTAGGAGTACAGAAAATGCTCAAGAACCAAATGCACGAGCACAACAGAGTGTGACGAGCGATGAACCCGAGAGTAGGAGGTATCCAGCTAGAGAAAGGAGAACACCGAGTTACTTAGATGACTTTGTAACTGAAGACAGTGATAGTGACGGGGTTCATATCACAGTAGACTATTGCTGTAGAGCCGTATGTGGCATTCCACAAATTTATGGGGGAGCAATGGAGTCAGCTAACTCAAAAGGATGGGTAAGAGCAATGAATGAGGAAATCCAATCCCTGAACGAGAACAAAACCTTTACCCCGACAACACAACCAATAGGCAAGAAAACAGTGGGGGGGTAGATGGGTTTACTCCATAAAGACTGATGGGAAAGACAAATATAAAGCAAGGTTTGTAGCTAAGGGTTGTGCTACAGAAAGCAGCACAGGAGAGTTTACTCTTACACCAAATGGACGTGAAAACAGCGTATTCACACGCTCCCATAGACTACGAGATCTACATAAATCCACCAGAAGGCTATCAAGAGAAAGAGGGTATA